TTTTCGTGATATCGTGGTGGCACACTAGGAACGCTCCAAGACCATTTTGTGGGATCAATTTCCAGGCGTTGTATGTCTGATTCAGGCTTGTAGACCCTGTTCATGTCTCCTTCTATAACTCTGATTCTTTTGAGGTTGATGGTTTTAAATAATGCTTCTGCTATGCTTTCCTCACTCAGGTAGCTCATTGGATTTCCTGGGTCTTCAAGTGGGAAGTAACTACGACATATTTATTCGTTGTTTTGACCTTCATAATTTATGATTTTTAGAAATTCATTATTGGTTGCTAGGACTGTTTGTGCCTCCCAGTCACCCGTGATCCATTGTTGTTCTGACCCTAGTAGTCGGCGCCATACCATAGGGATGCTGTCAATGATTAGCAATATGTTGGTGTGTAGGTTGTGGCTTCCTTTCAGTATGGGTATTAGGTTTTTTTTGGATTTCCAGCTATTGGACGCTTCATTCCTCATGTGTTGGATTTGCCATATTCCTTTTTCTAGCCAGTGTCCCTATTTGGCATCCACTTTGGTGAGAGAGAAACTACCCGTTTGGCATCCGCTTGTGAGAGAGAAACTATCTCCCTTCTCATCTTTAATCCAGGGATTCCCGAAAATGGGTTGTCTGAGCACTTCATCTTTCCTCTTGGGGCCGAGGTTATTTTCAGGGAAGATTTTTCTCCATGTGTATAGGAGCTGATTTTTTGCCATTATCCTCTCTTTTTATTTATGTGCAAGTTCTATTGGCAGTGGTCGCAAATCGTTGCGGTGATGATGGCGACCAAGGTGACCACTACACCATTCTTCTTCGTCTTTGTCTTTTTTCTTTTAATTAGAAAAAAAGAACCACCTCTGTCTCAGGTGGGGGACTACACCTGTTGGGAATTGTGCCCCGCATCCCTGAATAGTCGGTATATTTCACTAGACGCTTCCCCACGTTACGGCCTGGGGACCCCAGTCAACATTGATTACTTCCTACGGGAAGGATTAACTGACAGTCAAGCTCATACGCTTGTCCCAGCCTCCCCAACCCCTTCGAGAGTTAACTAAACTTAATTCCTTTAAATTATTTTTTAAATAAACATACCGTAAACCAACCACATTGTTCCGCTCCTTTTGGTTGATGACAACTCTTCTACCCAACAGGCAAACGTAAGCCCTTTAAACCTGAGTGGCTCTGGGCAGAGCTCCCTCTCGTAATTCAGTCTCTCCTGATCCACCACCAGCATGCACTGCCCATTTCAGCTTGATCATGTTCCCGTCTGCCTTCCCCCTTTGTATCTGTCACAATTTAGCCCTTATTTATCGCTGCTTATCCGGGTTGCCTTTGGTCTGTCTATTTTTCCTGCACCAGGTCGTTCAACACTCGTTTTCTAGCATTGCAGGAACCCCTCCTCTGGCACCTGCTGTTTGTCCAGTGTTTCCTTGCATCTTTTCTTCCACACTGCCCAGAATAACAGAGGCTCCTGTACAGTTTCAGTTCCCAATTCTATAATCCCCTGGGCTCTATGAATAACGCCAGACTTGCAAGGATATCTTTGGGGTCTGACAGGCTTCTGGTTCACGGTGTTCGCCTAATGGACGATATTTCTGTATTCATTGGTTACCGCAAGCATGATGTTAGGTCATTGAAAAAATCAAGGGGTATCCTACGGAAATTTGAGAAATGTTATCCTAAGACTCTATCCCTGAAGTGAACAGACGAAGGGAAGGGGTCTTGGGATTTTCTAGGTTGTTCATTGGAGGTGCGTCAACGATACCCGTATTTGGGGTCTTTTCAGAAGACCAAGAATGAGGACACGATCTAGACCTCTGATTTCTTGACCATTCGAACAGGTCAGGACTTTCAGTCCTGCTCCTGTCACAAACAGGAATTGGCCTCGATCACGGGCTGGTTAAATCGGATCGACCGTAACACAACGATTCGGTCCCGTATTCCCATCCAGGTAATGACCTTGAGAAGAGAATTCAGGACAAAATCATTCTCGAATCAATTCTTCGCGAAACCTCTCCCGAACTTCGCGCGGAACCGCGACGCAGTTTGGGCCTTGACGGCTACTTTGCTTCGTAATGGCCTGCATTAGTTGACATGTAGTGTTTTCTTGCTATATATAGCATTTTTTCAGTTGTCTTTGTCCTCTAACAATGGCATGGCTCCGGGACTTCCTGGAGTTAGGGATGTGGAACGTTGGTCACAGGAGGAGAGAGGTGGGGAGGAGAAAAAAGTTCTCGAGTAGTCGTTCCGCGACCTCTTGGATGTATTTTTGCCTCAAATTTGTTCATTGTTGATCGACGAAGACTTGTGCATGCCCACGTGGCATGTGTGTTGCTGATGTACGTACGCCTGCAATTGCGGTTTGCCAGTAATTGCGGATGTATGTTTCTTTACTCACCCTTGCAAGGATATACTCCATCAAAAGTTTATTGGTGATAGTCTTCCATAGATCCTTCCTTGGCCCTCCTCCAGAGTTGTTGCGTCTTCGGACAAAGCAGCAGGGAGTAACTTATGTCTTTTGTTATCTTCACTATTGCAGATTGCACAGTTTTCCAGGATTGGGCTTCTGTGATTGTAAGCCCTGTGTGTTGAGCCAAGCATTGACCGGCCACGCCGGGTATGTTATGAGCCATTGCATACTTTTGATCTTCCCGTTCAGACTGACAAATGGCAGTACTGACAGTTTGTCATTATCTTCGTTTTTTTTTTTTGTGCTTCATTTTTTTCATCTTATTTTTCAATCTTGTACCGTTGTACATGTTGTTTTTGTCTTCCACCCTTTCGACAATAGTTTTGTCCACTGAAGAACTATGTGAGAATTGTCTTTGAGTCTTCTTACATGAGTTTTGCCTGGGAGGTGATCATTCAGAGCGCAAATGTGTTGTATTGCAGGTGTTTGCACACACACACACACACACACACATACGTAACAAGCGGTTATCGGGTAGCTGAAAATTCAGGAATGATAATTCTGAAGTGAGAGTTTTTGGCAGTCTAAAAATCCTGAATAGTTCTGAAGTGGTGAAAGGTCCAAAGACCCTGAAAACCACCTGTTTAGGCAGGCTGCATCCTGAAGTGGTGAAGGGTGTCCTGAAGTGGTGAAGGGTGTCCTGAAGTGGTCAGGTGAGAGTTTTGGGCAGTCTGAAAATCCTGAATGGTTCTGAAGTGGTGAAAGATCCGAAGACCATGAAAACCACCCTTCACCACTTGAGGATGCAGTCTGCCTAAACAGGTGGTTTTCAGGGTCTTCGGAACTTTCACCACTTCAGGACCATTCAGGATTTTCAGACATGAATGGTCCTGAAGTGGTGAAAGGTCCGAAGACCCTGAAAACCACCTGTTTAGGCAGACTGCATCCTAAAGTGGTGAAGGGTGTCCTGAACTGGTGATGAAAAATACGATTGTTGTTAACCTTCTCTCACATACGTGCGTGCGCGCGCGCAAAACTAAATTGTGGTCAATGTGGAGGGTTCCTCTTGGTTAATGAGTGCAACTGTGTTGTACTGCCGGGATCCAACAACTACCCGTATAAAGTACACCATCGAATATGGAGTGTCCTTTTGGTTAATGAGTAAATCGTGGTCAATGAAAGGAAGATCGACGAACAAGCCATAGACCAAAGGTGAAGCAAAACTGAACTTCTGGAAGAATATCATAAGAGCTTGGGGATAAATTTTCCCTACTAAGGTAAGAAAGCCACAAACAAGAGGGACAACCTTTTTTCCGTAATTCATGGATTGTGATGGACGAGGAAAAACCCTTTACGCTGTCGGGCGCATCGGTCCGGCACCGCACGGGGGCAGCGCGGGACCCTCCCGGCCGCGTCACGCAGGAGTTGGTTTTTAGAACCCTTCGTCGCAATATACATGGAGCTGCCACAAGCTGCTCCGGCTGGGTGCGCCAGCCATACCTCTCGCGAGCCCCTACGACAGGATAGGGCCTACGCGAGGCACGACTTACCTMCACCTTACGGGAGCTGTCACCTCCCTTCGGTGGGCGTATCCCCGCCGAGCTACCAGTCCACAGTACGAAAGCTAATCAGTTGCAATCGCAGAGGTGGACCAGCCGAGGGCGTTTCTCGTTCGCTGTAGCATAGGGGGTACGCGCGGTAATACGCCTCTATCGGACCCGCATGCGAACCGACATCTTGGGGAGGCTGAGGTCCCAAGCGCGACTCATCGTCGGTCGACTAGGACGCATCCCACACACCACGCACACTCCACTTTACGAACACTCATACACATAAAAAAATATATGTACAAAACGACACAATACCAACAACGCGACAACGCTCCTAGCCCCTCGGTAGCCAACCCATAACTCTCCAAAGCGAAAATCGGATGGAATGATGGACATGGTCGGGAAATTCTGTCGATCTTGCGTACCCTGCCAGGAGAGATCTCGTTTAAGGCAGGGAGAGCCGCTGCATCCAAGGTTAGAGCGAGAGGTAGGGGCCGTAGTGCATCTCGATCTGCTTTTTATACCACTTGGGGATCAGGGCTATAACTATATCTTCGATGCGCGCGATAACCTGTCTGGGTTCGTAGACGGGCGAGCTATTCGCACAAAGACCGGGTCAATCCTGGTGAGCTGCATCGAGGAGTACTACCTGCGTTATCCTTTCGTCAGGGAATTCGTAATGGACAGGGGATCAGAGTTTACCTATCAGGAGGTGCAAGAACTGTTAGCAAGATATGGTGTGGCAGCCAACTACACCACGGCCGCGCACCCCCAGGCAAATGCTCTCGTAGAGAGAGGACATAGTACCATTATGAACCTCCTGGCCAAATGGACCGAAGGTAGGCCTAATCAATGGCCAAGATACCTAAGGGCGACTTTCTTTGTCGAGAATATTACAGTAAAGAGATCCACTAAGTACGCACCTGCGACGCTGTGGTACGGAAGGCATGCCACCTTCCCTATCGAAAGCTTTCTTAAGACGTGGAGGCGCCGGGATCTGGAAGTCAACCTGTCATTTGAAGAGTTGCTCGATATTCGGGCGCGGCAGGTCGGGGCGATAGAAGAAAGGATCCAGGAGGCATCTGATCAGGTGGCGAGAAGCCGTATGGATGATAAGACCCGATGGGATCAGTCTGCGCGAGTGAGGAAAGTACCCTTGGTAGTCGGGGATGTCGTGCTTCTCTACGATACGTCGCTGGAGAAGCAGTGGTCCAGGAAGCTCGATAAGAGATGGTTAGGTCCCTACCGAATTGCACGGGTCGGAGACTTCGGAGCGTACCAGATCGAGGAGTTAAATGAGACTGAGTGGAAGGATTGGGTATCAGGAACGCAACTGAAGAAATTCGTGGCGAGAGAAGAGGTAAGAGAGATGACCTGACCGCCCCTAAAATAAGAAGTAACAGGGTGTGTAGGTTAGGAAGGATGCATGCTGCATAAGTGTGGTCTGGTCTGAGCTTGCTCTGATTATCACCTGCTTGCTTACCCCAACGTGTGCCTATTGTCTCCTTCGCCTGTTGTGCAGGTCTGACTTTACGAAGACAGCCATGCCAAGAGGAGGGAAGGAGACACGGCCGCCTCAGAGGCCGTTGGGCGCATCAGGAGGATATGAGCGGCATGGGTCTCGCCAACGAGAGAATACTCCAGTCTACAATGATGGGGACATCGARCTATTCCTGGACAGTTTCTGGGAGCATGCGAGGCGTATGGGCTGGACCGTCACTCAGGCGATTGAGAGATTGAGGGGAGCAGGTAGGTTCGAAGAGCCCATTGCCAGGATTCGTAGGGAGGCGACGACGAGGCAGGAGGTGGAGATAAGGATGGAGGAGTTGCGACCCTCGCCTGTGGGACCTGATGGCAGGCCGATCCGCCTGGAGATTGGAAATGCGCCGGACTTCATCCCCGCGTTTGAGTGGTTCATGCAAGAGCAGGGCATACAGAGAGATGATTGGATGCAGACACTACCACTCTGGACCAGGAAGACGGAAAGGCCACTGGCTATGCAGATCAGGGACATGGCACGAGATTGGGAAAGCTGCAGGGCACATTTGAGAGAGGGTTTTCGACGGCCAGAGCTCCCTCAGCCCAGAGTCGAGAGGCGTCAGAGGAGTCAGAGGCCGAGGGACCCTGAGCCCAGGGAGGCGAGACCATCTCGAGGAGGACGGAAGGCCCTAGCCAGGAGAGAGCAGGAGYCAGAGGATGAGGAGCGAGGGGCATACCCTGAGTGTGGGTTGGGGCCAGTGGAGTTCCATCGTTTTACTGAGGGTGGATTGAGGAGGTCGCCAGCACACACAGGGGAAGCCACCAGCGTCAAAGGGGCCCTTGAGGGAATTGGAGATGCATTTAGATATCTCTCGGTGGAGGGCGTCGCTTCAGGGTGAGGAGCATGGAGATCAGGCAGAGGTGCCACGAGAGGAGGTGCCACAGGGGGAGATACCACGAGGAGAGATGCCACGGGAGGAGGTGCCACAGGAAGAGGTCCAGGGTACTCAGCGAGAGAGGGGGCTGGGCGATGAGGGGAGACATGCAGGGGAGGAAGTGATAGAGGTTGGAGAAGGCACGCCCCCACAGGCGCCAGCAGTGGGTTTGAGACTCGAGGGTGCACCAGGGAGCACCCGGCAAGCAAAGGAGGGGTTGCAGAGAGAGGAGACCCCTTTACCTTCGTCAGAAAAGGCTCCTTCGCCAGAAGGGAGGGCAGAAGGAGGAGAGAGGGGGCAACTGTAAGGAGAGAAGCTTTGATCCTGATTGATAGGCACCTAGCAGCTCATGCCCTCGAGCACCCAGACCTGGAGGAGCCAGCACCTGCAGAGCCGGGCCAGGAGTCATGCCAGCCCGAGAAGGAGATGGAAGCAGAAATCCCAAAGAGGGTCGACCTCCGCACGAGGGAAAGGGTGCCAGCTGGAGAGACGACCGAAGAAAAGAGGGCAAGACGAACCAGGCGGATAGATGAGATATGGCAGGAGAGGCAGAGGTTGGAGGCAGCTGGGGAGCTCCCGGAGCAGCATCAGGAGAGGCAGAGATCGGAGGCAGCAGGAGCACTCCCGGGTCAGCCGCCCAGCGCGCCAGCCAAGGCCCCGGAAATTCCTGAAATGTGGAGAGACTTCTGGGAGCAGAGAGGAGAGGAGCTTCCATCGCCAGTCAGAGCCGGGTTTGGGGTGGCCAGGAAGGCGGAAGAAAGGTTAGATCGTAAAATCAAGTTCCTAGTCAAGACCACTTTTGACCGGCACTTGTTATTAGAGGGCGATCTGGTGGGGAAGAAAATGAAGGAAGCCAGCCATGGAGTACGTCTGGAGGCTATGGAGGTGGAAATTCAGGAACTTAGGGCTTTGGTGGCCAGCCAGACAGCTATCATTGAGAGCCTGAGGCAGCAAACCCAGGGAAAGGTGGACAGACCAGAGAGCAGCCGGCAGGGAGAGCAGAGGCAGCCAAGACAGGGATTGCCAGGACAGCCATCTGCGACAGAGCCTCGCCAGGAGCCGCCTATGGGGAGAGTTATCCTGGAGCCAGAGGAGGCGAGAGCCCAGAGACAGGCGGAGAGAGAGGCGTTCGAGTTTAGAGCCCCTACTGAGCTCGCGACGCTGCCGATGGCGGCGGTAGGCCCAGTCGTACCTTTGGCAGTAGAGGAGGGGCTGCCACCATCTAGCAGTGAGCCGACTCAGGGCTCGGCAGAGGGATCCATGGGCGTGCTCCTTGAGGCGGTGCATACTATACAGGAGGAGGTGAGTTTGTTTTCACCTGAGCAGAGGATAGAGGAGCCTCTTGAGAGAGAGATGGGGATTGAGGAGGAGGGTGCCATCGCGTGCAGACTCCAGAGGATAGGCACACCTGAGTATGAACCAGAGGAGATTGAGGAGCAGCCCACGGCAGTGCCAGGGGCGGCACTCGAGAGGAGGCCTCAGAGGTTGGACACGGCCGAGTACGTTCCCGCGACAGAAGATTTGAGAGGTAGACCTTGGATTTTGGGCTACTGGATCTGGGTCTGGTGGACCAGTTCCGGGGACAGAGCGGCAGGAAGTCGTTGGTACCGCAGCTCCTCAAACAGAGCAGCAGGGGGTTGTCAGTACCTTGGCAGGATCTCCTTCATCACCACCTCCTCAGCCCAGGAAGAAGAAGTTCAAGAGGAAGGTTGATCAACTATGTTTCTAATGCAAGAGGAGCGCGCATCACGCTTTGGACTGTCTCCAGTTTCTTGAGGATAAGGCAGCAGGGAAGATTTCAGAGGTAGGGGGTAAAATGTATGATAGACAGGGTAGGATAGTAGAGAAGTCCGCAGATGGACTTAGGGCTCAGTTATATAGGCAAAACAAGGAGGAGTTGAGGAGGTAGGGCCGRCTTTGTCTATATAAGCGAGCGGGCATTTTGTGAGGCATCAACTTAGGTTCTGTGTGATACTCTCTTAGACTTAGAAGACATTTTGATGATTACTGTTAATTTAGATCTGAACTCTAGTGTTTCTACTGAGTTGGGGTTTTGAGGGTCAGGGTGGTTTAGATGAGGCATGTACATATTTAGGTGGCCTACGCCCTGGCCTTTGAGAGACAGATCGGACATATATTCTAAGGGTAGTTGTCAGTGTGGGTTTGGTGTGGCTTGAGTTGAGCAAGCCATGATTTGGAGACACTTTCTGTATGAGACATTGTACTCCCTGAGTGTATATTATGATGAGGTTTCCTTTAGGGACCATTCTTATATGTGACGATTACTTGTCTCTCTCACATGTGTGGTTGTACTCTGATGTATGATGAGTTTGTGTGGACAATGTGTGAAAAACATTTTATGTATCTTGGGTATTGTGAATATGATTGTAAGTAAAACYKTCTACTCCTCGGTATACTTGTGCGACTTGCCCACGGCAGCTGATAAGGCAGAGTATAAGGGGAGGAAGCGCAGTCCGTCTGTGAAAGTTATCTAAGTTGTGATGAGGACCCATAAGATGGTCTCTCAGTGATGTTCTGTTTTATGATGGGACCCCCTTAGATTTTGGAAAAGGGAGGGGATGTTTTGTGATGTTTTGTGATGTAACGTAACCCCTCGTGATTTTGAGAGAGGGGGTGTTTTGTTTATGATGAGACCCTTGTGATTTATGGAAGAGGGAATGTATTGTTTTATGGAGAGACCCCTCGCGATTTTTGGAAGAGGGGGTGTTTTGGTTATGAAGAGAGCCCCTTTCGGATTGTTGGAAAAGGGGAGTGGTTTTTGGTTGAAAGACTCATCCTCAGAAGTGAATAAATTGATTTATGGCATGATGAGTTGTTCAATGGGTAATAAAGTCTGACGAAAAGGGGCCACTTTTTGTTTGAAATGTTTGAGAAAGTCGCAATGAGTACAGGACGAGAGATGTCTCAGGGTGGGTGGCTGCTGGCTCTGATCAAGTCAGGGGTCACGGCCTGGTGGATTTAGCGGTGATTTTGCTTGTAAGCGTGCGAAGGAGGCTATGCCTATTGAAGGAGGGCTGGTAAATGCCTTCGGACCCCTGCGTATCGTGCAGTGGGCCTGTGATTTTGTTTTGCGACGCACCCGTTTAACCACTGGTGCTAATTCTGAGACATATTGAAGAAAGGTCAAGCTAATGGAAAAGAAGTTAGTACCTCTAGGGCGTAACCCCATTGGATGACTGCTAACCGGCGCAACCTGGTTGCGGGACCACGGGGTAAGAGTTTAAGGGGAGTTACCCGCCCCAGGGAAATTACTCCGTGGGATAGTGAAGGTTGAGATTTTGGGAGGTCCTGATTGAGTGCCTATCAGGAGAAACTCTATCGTTGCGTAACCAATGAGGGTACTGCCGTTAAATAACAATGCGGTGGGCCGTAGTCCTGGTCCGATCAACCAGGCTATGGTGGGCCAAGATGGAGACCGGGCCTTTCTGTACTAGACTGCAGAAAGAGCGGAGTGGATATTAAGTTTACATATATATTTGATTGCGAKAGATTTTGAGAAARAAGGCGAGAGTGCCTTCAAAGGTCTCGGTTAAGGCTCGCGTCCCTAGTTTTTGCCAGGACTAGGRACACCCRAYGAGRAGYCGAAGGTTRTCTRGAACYRGGGAGAGGACRATTGGGARGGTCTTTGRAACTTATGCTGCCAGTGTCCTAATTTATGGACGGTGTGAGGCCCAGGTTAGGAACCTGGCAGCATATAGTTGTGGAGGCATGGTTTGATGGAGGCCTCTACCCTGTGTTTGTCGGCTAGTCGGATTGGCTCACTTCTTTCGTCAGCATTTGGAGTGTGAATGGATTTATAGCTTTCAGATTTAGCGAAGCGACGGAGAAGTCGCTTAATATGGTCCGGTAAGGCTGTCGGTGCGAATACCCTTGCAAGGGTATCCGCCCTGGTTTTTGCAAGTAACAGAAAATTGTTTGGCTTAAAGTTTAAGTATACCGCGCTAAGCGCGGCCGCGTCTGTGAGTTACGTTGACGGGAAGGTTGGCTAAAATAGCGAGTGCGTGGGCGCGCAGGGTTTAAGGCGCGCGTGATTCTTTTCTGTTGTTGATCGTAAAGCCGGCCCGGACCTCGGTCGTTTTGCTTAGTGATATTAATACTTATTTATATTTGATTAAGCGAGAAGTGGGGGTATTTTCGGTTACTGGTATGTTTGATCGAGACCTGCACGCATACGGACAACGACCTCGGCGACGGCGCGGGAGTATCAAGGTAAATAAAAGGCCGGCGGGGCCATCCCCCCCCCCCCCTTCACGGTTTTGCCATCGGCTGCTTCGGGACGGGGCCAACGGTTATTTTTCTGAGTTTCTTCTAATT